TCAAAACGGGAATTTTCTCAAATATAAATTAATATTATAATATATTAGCATATTGTGCATATATAGGTATAGATTAGGTTAGGTGTTTAGGTTCTGTTGGCGATTATTTGTATTTGTAGTACGTGGGTGAAGCATTTATAGCGTTGTGGTTCGAACAAAATTCGTCAGTGAAGCACTTGTTCCGGAAGTGTTCGAACGAAATCAGTTGTGAGTTGTGTGTAAACCTTTTTCATCCATAAACAAAGGGGGTTTGGCGGGTGCATGGAATTACTATTGGGTCTTTGTTTGAAGGACGGGATGAATAACTGTAAACGAATCTGACAAAGATTAAAAAAAGATGTACAGGTTCGTAAGTGCTTGCGTAACTGTTTCGTGAATCTGGTTCCATAGGAGCCTGTAGAGCGGCGAGCCTTGACTGTCAGCCTTATTCCCTCCTCCCCTCCTCTCTAACCAACTGATATTCAGAGACCTTGGTGAGTGTGATTGTCATGTGGTGTATTGTGTGTGTGTTTCCTGAATTGTATGAGGTGGAATTTCAAGGGCAGTCGGCCATATTTGCTAATAATTTCTTGTGTCGTGACTCTGAATTAATATTGATTACTAGCTGTACTCGGCCACGCTTTGCTGTGGCTCAGCAACTCATGTGCGTTGCTGAGCCACAGCAACCTTCCCCTGTCTCCCAGTCCTCCCCAACATTCCCCACTCCCCTGTCCCCTCGTCCTCCCCACCATTATCCCCCCCCCTGGTAATGGGGGGGGGGGGGTAAAACAGATGACACTGTTTTTCAAAAACGGCATGCTTTTACCTGTCACAGGTGTGGCATCTATACTTATATTCACGAAATAAACGGTATGTTTAACAACACAGCTCAATTCCAACACAATGTCAAACAAAATAATTAAATCAAAATGAAAATAAATCGAAATCTATGAAAATTAAATTTACCAGTGCAATCGGAAACATTGAAATGGAATCGTAACATATTTAGTATAGCGTGTGTTGTTCTTACGTGCAACAGATGGCGCTGTTTAAAAAAAAAAAATATGTTTTTACCTGTCACGGGTGTGGCAAATATATAGTACATATTTAAAAACACGCGTGTATTCAAACAGAACGTTTGAATACATCATGTGTTGCTCTTTGAATACAGCATGTGTTGCTCTTACGTCCAACAGATGGCGCTGTTTTTAAAGAAAAGCATGTTTTTTTTTCCTGTCACAGGTGAAGCATGTATATAGTAGGCTTATAAATCACGCCTCTATTCGAATGTAACGTTGTGTAGCAATCGGTAAAGAGGTTTCAAAGATTTCTCTCACATGAAAAACACAGTTTTTCAAAAAAGCGTGTTTTTTCCCGTCAGAGACCTGACATCTATATAATATGTATATAAAAACTATAAAATCCCGCTCAGATGTGAATGGAATGTTGTGTGAAAATTTCAAAGCAATCGGTTAAGAACTTTTGGAGATTAGCGATTTTGAACAAACGAACATTTCCATTTTTTTTTGTATAGATGGGTTAAGTCTAGGTAAGAATTAATATTGATTATGGTTAAGTCAAGGTTCAATAATTACCAACCATTAGTCTTGCATCATCATAAACATATTTAATAATTGTTCATATTTAATATATGAACATATTTAATAAATTTAATATCATTAAGCAATTTTTAATAATCCTTAATTCTGTCTCTGTCTAAGATCTTGGATACAATCCTACCATTATGCAAAGCAACAGCGAGATTAAAGAGCTCTTCACTCGAGCGATTCCATTCATTCGATTCGAAGTTTTCCCGATTCGTTACACTGTGACCATACATAACCACAGTCAACTGGTCACCACACCTTGATCATAGTGACCTGGTCACCACACCATGACCATAGTGACCTGGTCATAGGTCCATGGTCCATGACTGCCCATGACCAATGGTCTCTGCCCTTGACTTGGGCAGGGTTGAGGGGTGGGGTTGGGGTAGTGGGGTGGGGGCGGGGGTGGTGGATGAGAGACAGTGGGACTCCCCTTACTCTAGAGCTGGGGTTCAAGAGTAAGAATGAGGGGTGGAGGATAGGAGCCGGTCCGAGGCCGGCTACTAACCCTCCTGGTGAGGGGAGGAGGAGGAGGGGGGGGGGTAAAAGGACGGAAACAGTAGAGGAGAGCAAGGGTAGAGGAGAGGCGCTAAGGAGAGCAACAAAACACCGTCCACCATATGATCAGACAATCCAGGAGCTCCATGAACTCTTGAACATACAGCCACTAAACATCAGAACATCAGACTGCAGCACCAAGCCATCAGGGTGTGGAACACCATCGAAATGTTAGAGGACCCAATGTTTAAACGATTGCTCCATCATGAGACGCCCCGCTCCCACAGCTGGTGGCCCAAGAGCCGCGATTCTCGGGATGAAAACCCCCCCCACAGTATTTAATCCCCAGATGAGATACTGACCAGATATCCTTCCCCCATAATTGGAAAACTGAGTATGTATGCATGTGTGTGTATATGGGTGTGTATGTGTGGGTATATATGTATATGTGTATGTGTATGTGTATGTATATATATGTATATATATGTATATATATATATATATATATATATATATATATATATATATATATATATATATATATATATATATATATATATATATATATATGTATATGTATATAAGTGTGTATGTGTGAGCATATGTAGGTATATATGTGTATATATGAACAACTCGATAAATAATAATAATAAAATAAGAGCCTTAAACAGAATAACGTGTGGAAGCATCGGAGTGTGTATATATGAATGCTACACAGTATTCATCTATAAACATCCATATATGGTGAAACACATGTGAAGAATCTCTCACACACTCACAGCTCCCTGACAAGAGGGAGCCAGCTTAGCTTAGCTGCCAACACCCACACATCGTGTCAGCAAGGCGGACAGCCCGCCTGCTTTCATACCTCTCACTGTAATTCCCACTTCTTTACTTTCCTTCACCTAGGCCTCTCCTTCCTCTTTACTCCCCCCCCCCCCCCAAAAAAAAAAGAGGAGAGTAGGACAGAAACCAATGTGTTTTTTTTTTTTTGTGAGCTTGAGGGGATGGGCGGGCAAACACACTGGTCTCGGCAGAAACCATTGTGTGTGTTCTTAAATCTGGATGGATGAATCCGGATTTACCGTCTCTGGGCAACATGCGCCAGAATCTGCTGTTTTGTGTGACCTTCTGGTTTTGAACGTCGCAGATAACCCTCCTCCAGCACCCCGGGAAGGACAGAAAAACCTGTTTGTGGGTGGCTCGATTCCCTGACATTGTCGTCCTCGTTCCCCACCTCCACCTCTCCACTTGCACATCTTTGGGAGGTATAATTAGCTGGTAAGAGCCCTGGTCTGCCGAGGCTAACCATAGCCCGTGCTACTTGCCCCGCTCCTGTGCCAGGTAAGTCCACTACGGGCTCACCATAACCCGTGCTACTTGGAACTTATGTTCCGAGTAGCTGAATCTAAAACAACACCAACAACCCTGGTCTGAGCAGCACCCTCGCCTCGGCCACCTGGGGAGACTCATTACCTGCCTAGTGCACCTGTGTGTACTCACCTATATGTACTCACCTATATGTGCTTGCAGGATCGAGCATTGACTCTTGGATCCCGCCTTTCCAGCTATCAGTTGTTTACAGCAATGACTCCTGTCCCATTTCCCTATCATACCTAGTTTTAAAAGTATGAATAGTATTTGCTTCCACAACCTGTTCCCCAAGTGCATTCCATTTTTCCACTACTCTCACGCTAAAAGAAAACTTCCTAACATCTCTGTGACTCATCTGAGTTTCCAGTTTCCACCCATGTCCCCTCGTTCTGTTATTATTACGTGTGAACATTTCATCTATTTCCACTTTGTCAATTCCCCTGAGTATTTTATATGTCCCTATCATATCTCCTCTCTCCCTTCTTTTCTCTAGTGTCGTAAGGTTCAGTTCCTTCAGCCGCTCTTCATATATGTGTGTGTGTGTATGTGTGTATTCACCTAGTTGTATTCATCTAGTTGTGCTTGCGGGGGTTGAGTTCTGGCTCTTTCCGCCCGCCTCTCAACTGTCAATCAACTTTTTTTATATTTTTTCACACACCTATTTCTCATTGTTGTAGGTGCCAGAGAACCTAGGCCTAGTTTCAGCTCATTGGATGTAGACCTAGAAAGGGGATGGTTTCCTAGAGCAAGATGCCTTTATGGGTGGAGCTTAAACTTCACCATGAAGGATGCTGAGCAAAAGATTTTTAGTGTGACCTGGACTAGTGCAAGAGGGGCTGGGGATAGCGACCACCAGGCCACAACATCGCCTGAGAAAGCAGAGGAAAAGGTAAATGTCTGTTGAGTTTTTCTAAGTAAAATGTGCTTAGGTAAATTCCCTAAGCCCTGGTGCTAGTTGACTAGCCTCCTCCAGAGTCAATTAGCCTAATTATTAAAGTTATTGGAAGAGTGGTGGCGGCATTTATTTGTTTTAAATGAGTAACTTTATAATCCATCCAGTATGTAATTGTTGTCGAGATATCTTTAACATCTTGGTCATTTCTCCCCCTTTCCCCCCCCCCTCCCCCAACCCCCGATAACTGGTTTAAGCATTTTCCGCTGTGAGAGCAGACTCATCCTGTTCTTGAGGTTATACAATATCATTACTACAGCCTTAGAGGTTACCAGTTGATAGCCACCATTACAGTGAGTCTCACAATAACAGCAGTACTTGATTATCATAACCGTATCTGTAGTGATATCGAGAAGTGTTACAATGGTAGCAACGAGTTGTTCATTTAAACAGAAGTGTTACTCTTCACCAATTGTTACAGGCTCTTATCATATCTACATTTGAACCTGTGTAATCAGTCAGCCTACAACACATCACTGACTGATGACTGTGTGTGTGTGTGTGTGTGTGTGTGTGTGTGTGTGTGTGTGTGTGTGTGTGTGTGTGTGTGTGTGTGAGTAAAAAAATAATAGTAACAGTAGATTGACAGTTGAGAGGCGGGCCGAAAGAGCAGCGCTCAACCCCCACAAACACAACTAGGTGAGTACACACACACAAAGGTGCACCTGACAGGTAACGACACTCCCCAGATGGCGGAGGGACCGACGCTCATCAAAAAGAGTCGCCCAATCAGCCAATTTATCCCAGCCTCAGGGTACAGTGATTACAGCCAGACACCAGACCCACTCTCCTCACCTGGGTAGTTATCTAGATATTTGTGTTGGTCTGAAACCACATTACGGTTCCAGTAATAGTGTACTTGTAACTTGGTAAGTGAACTATTGTCCTAGAGAATATTCTCACTACACACAGAAATCACAATAGCGTGATGCATCAAATGAACAAATCCACAAGGACTGTGACGAGGGTTCGAACCTACGCCCGAGAGCATCCCAGATGCTGCTTTAATCGACTGCGCTACGACATGGTAAATGAATTGCAACCGGAAGTTCTACTGCCCTTACTTGGACCCCTGCAGCCTCTCTAAGACACAAACCAGGATTTTACGCAATTCCCCCATGCACTCGAGCTCTTTCATTCTCAAGTTATATCTTTATATCAAACTATATATGGTTTAAAATATAAACAAATTATTGGTTTTGCTTGTTTTATTGAAATGTGTTAAGCCTAGGTTTGCTTTAAAATGAAATTCTAGGAGACACCCAAACAGTTTTCGAATTTCATAATTCTCATTTGAGAATAAGGTTCTGTTTTAATGCAATGCACAAAGAAATCACACTAACATGATGTATCAATGAGAAAATTAGTCTGAGCTATGAGTAGAATTAGAATCTGCACACCATTCAAACCCTAAGGCCACTCCTTAAACCACTGATCCATGACATGTTAAAAGCAATACAAACTGGGATGCAGCAAAATTCTCCAGGGGTTCTGAGGCTTCCACTGAAGCCAAGTTAAGGTTTCACACATTAACCACATATACACTCTGGCTGTGGTATAGGAGTCCTAACCCCCAAATCTTCTCTTCAAATGTACAAAAAAATAACATTAAAGTGATGTATCAATGAGAAAATCATTAGCAGCCATGATGGAGATTCGAACCTGCACACTTCGTACTCCCAAACACATGCCTTAAACCACTGTACCACTACATGCTGAAAAAAATACAACTTGGGACTCAACTCAATAGAGGAAACCTCAGGACCTTTAAAGGATTCACTTGATCCCCAGTAAGTACTTTGCTTTTAGCATGTCATGGTTCAGTGGTTTAAGGTGCATGCTTGGGAGTACCCAATGCATAGGTTCGAATCCTCTCATGGCTCCTACTGATTTTCACCTTGGATTAATGATTAATGTAACGAAACCTAGCCCAACCTTACCTAATCTAACGTACCCTAACCTAATCTAATCTACTCTAACTTAATCTAACCATGGATAAGGTGTAGATAACAGTACAAATTATGAAGTGATACCCCTTCAGGAGAGGTTGAGCTCAATATACCTCCCAAACATGTGCAAGTGGAGAGGGTGGAGGTGGGGAACGAGGACGACAATGTCAGGTGGAACGAACCATCCACAAACATTAGGTTTTCTGTCCTTCCTGGGGTGCTGGAGGAGGGTCGTCTGCGACGTTCCTAACCAGAAGGCCACATAAACATGGGTTCTGGCGCGTGTTGCCCAGAGACGGTAAATCCGGATTCATCCATCCAGATTTAAAATCACACATAATGGTTCCTGTCGAGACCAGTGTATTTACCCGCCCATCCCCCTCAAGCTCACAAAAAAACCTTCGGTTTCCGTTCTGCTCTCCACTTCTGGGGGTGAGAGGCAGGGCTGAAGAGCTAGGGTGAGGGACTGGGATATGTGGCATGAGTGAGGGGGGCACGAATAAGTGGCAGGGGTAGGGATGAGAAAGGGTCGTCAGTATCACAAAAATATAAATGAAGCTTGAAGCAGTTGTAATCACACACACAGACACTGACACAAACTCAGATACAAGAAACCAAGACAAAGAGGAATCCACACAAGATCGAATTCTTTTCGACAAAGATGACTTTCTATACTCATTTCACCGGCGCTCCTTCTATCGTCACACCTTTCCTGCCACCGCAGCCTCCACCACCAACACCACACACCCTCCAAAGCAGCGAATGAATTGGAAGTCCTCACGAAAACTTTCTTCTTGAGTTACTGTGTTGTCCGACCTCCTGCATCCATGTTTCAGTCATCTCCACTGCTGGGCAAGCAGCTGGCTAGTCTTCCAGTGCAGAGAATATGTTGCAAGTTTTCACAGAAGGTACCAATGAACGCTTCAACGTCTTCCTTATGTCCGCAACCTTGGAGACAACTCAACCTATTGTTTTCACGGGAACACCATCCGTCGCAGCGTCTTCCTGTGGCGACACACAACTCCACAGCTGCTTCATTTCTTGCGTCAGTAACTATAAATCTCTGCTAAAGACAGCATAGAGTTCCGTCAGCTCATGCTTGAACTTCACTCCATCTCAAACATGGTCACATCCAGAAACCAAGTCACTGAATATAGCAACAATCGGTTGGTAGTTGAAAACATACAACATAAAATACAAGACCGTTGAAAACATACAAGACCGTTGAAAACATACAAAACCGTTGAAAACATACAACCTATAATAACGTTATAAACATACAACACAAATAACGTTGAAAACATACAGCCACTTTGTATCTATTATGAAGATCTCAGTAAAGGTAGACTGAGTGTACATGGTAACGCGTCAGGAAGTAGAGGGAACATTGAACAGCTCCCTGCTGACGGGAAGGAGACAATTGAGGAGAGTGTAGTGATATAAGGCTTGATAAAGATGTCTTACCTGTAGTTGAGGACGTTACCGAGGAAGGTCATGGCCACCACGACCATGGCGGGCATGAAGGAGCCCCAACACGCCAGGAAGAACACAAGCTTCTGGTACCTCCCAAACCCACCAAGAGACTCGTTTATGCCTTCAAAATCCATCGCTGATATTTGTGTTTCAGTCATTATGTTCAGCTTCCCCTTTGTTTTCTTTTAGCAATAAATCACTTGATTATAAGCGAAAATTAATTTATTACAATTAATAGTGTCAAATAACTGCAACAATTTTCCCAGTGCTAATGTCTCTAAATTTCATTTTTTTCTGTGATAACAATTAAAAATTATATCATTTTTATTTATCATATGCGCTAGAGAGAATTTACAAAACCAAAATGGTGAAAACTAGTGATGCGAGGCAGTAGTTGACAACATTATAACATAAGAATTAAGAAAACTGCTTCAGAGGTATGCCATCAGACTAGTCCCAGAACTGAGACGTATGAGTTATGAGGAAAGGCTATGGGAACTAAACCTCACGTCCCTAGAAGATAGAAGAGTCAGGGAAGACATGATCACCACCTAAAAAATTCTCAGAGGAATTGACAAGATGGACAAAGTATTTAGCATGAGTGGAAAACGAACAATGGGACAGAGGTGGAAACCGAGTACCCAAAATGTGCCACAAAGGAAATGTACCACAGAGGACATGTACCATAAAATGAGTCCCTTTCTAAATCCATGCTACCATTCTGTTACAAACATTATCCTCTCTAGATGCTCCACTATTCTCGACCTTATTTCTCTCTCTAGCACTTTAGAGGAAATCAGTGACACTGGTCTGTAATTTAGTGCCTCCTGTCATGAATAGTGGGACTACATTTGGCTTTTCCATAATTTTGGAAGAGTTTCTGTTTCGAATGTTTTATTAAAAACTCTCAGTTAGTGGGGTGATATAGCACCTCTGCAGCCTCCTTCAGTAGCCATGGTGGATATTAAGTCTGATCTAATTGATATTGTTGCATCTGGTTCCTTTAGGTGTTTGTTAACTTCTTCCACTGTGACTACTATGCCATCCAGTGTTTCCTCTGGCCCTTCATGTCTCGGCTCTAGTCTCCATGTTGGTTTTGTTGTAAGGACCTCCTGAAATCTTTTGTTTAGTTCTTCACACACTTTGTCATTTTCTGTAAGACTTTCCCCTTGCCTCTTTAGCCTTTTCTAGCTGTTGTTTTTCTCCTTATATGGCTATAAAAGAGCTTTGATTATTCCTTAGCTTTTGGTGTCATGTCATTTTCAAATTCTCTCTCAGCTTTCCTCCTGACTCTGGAGTAATAATTTCTGGCTCTCTTTAATTCGTGTCTATATTCCTCTGATCCTAGATCTCTTTACATTTTCCGTGCTTTTTTGTTCCTCTCCTGTGCTTCTCTGCACTGCCTATTAAACCAGGTGTTTACTTTGCCTTTTTCATCCACCTCCTTCTTGAGTGCGATGTAAAGCTCCGTTGCATCTGCACATTTCTGAGCAATAAGTCCATCATTTCATTTCTTGTCTTCCCATCTAGTTCCCTCTCCCACTGGACATCACTCAGAATATCCCTCACCTTACTGTGGTCTACACGTCTATAGTCTCTCATATTTCTTAGTCTATCTAGTTCCTTTAACTCCATTATGTACTGAAGCATGATAATGCAGTGATCACTTGCCCCTCGGGGCATCTCATGCTTTATCTTTTCCACGTCTGTCTCATTTTGGGGCAAACACAAAGTCTAGGTTCGCTTCTGAGTCATCTTCCTTAACTCTTGTTGGTTCTGTAATATGTTGCTTCAAGATGTGCTTATGTGCTGCATCTACCACTTATGATCCACATGTCTCATCACCTTCATGGGGGTTCCTTAATTATCCAGTCTATTTTTAAGTCATTTAAATCCCCAAGTATTATCACTCTGGCTCTCGCTCCCCTTGACACTATGGCTGCTTTTTGTATTACCTTCAGGCAAGTCTCATTGCATTTGCCATATTCTTCCCCGGGCCTTCAGTTGTTAAGTGGGGGGTTGTAAATCACTGCTATCACTATCTTCATGTCCCCAAATGTTGCTATTCTCAGTAGTACGTACTCTTGCTGATGAAATTCCTCTGAAACTTTCACTTCCTCAAAGCTCCAGTGTAGCTATAATAGTGGGGCTACACCACCTTCTCCCTTCTCATCCCTTTTTTTCCTTATTGATATTCTTTTGGGATGATTGCATGTCCTATAACACTCATCAGTTTTGTTTCTGTTATTGCAGTAATATGTGGCTGCTCTTCCAACATTCCTTCACGTAACTCTACCCCCATATTTGTAACTCTGTCTGCATTTATGTACATAAACTTATTACTTCTCCTCTCTACTGGGCTGCTTTGGTTTCTCCTAAGGTGGATTCGTTATAGTTCCATGGCCAATTCTGTTAGGGAAGGGGGTGTTTGTTGACTAAGTCACTCATGGCTATTGTGGATCTCTATAGGCTAGTTTGACTAATTATTCTCTTGAATTGGGCTGGCTGATGCCTGACTTTCCTAATCCTGTTCCCTGCTTTCATTGCTTTCTGGTTTCCTTGAGGCATTTACTTATTTTGTTTCTCTTATTTTCTTTGCTTCCACACTATCCTCCTTTGACATTTCTTGTCATGTGGATTACCACATGCCGCGACATGTCAAGTCTCTCTGTCCCTCAATGTTGATTTTCCAGCCAGAATATTTTAGACTTGTGACCTACTCTGAAAGATTACTTTCACTGGTTAATTCTCTCTATTTGGAATCTACCAAGCCCTTGTTCCTTGTTACCTGGTGTTCCTTGTTACCTGGTGTTCCTTGTTACCCTGGTGTTCCTCGTTACCCTGGTGTTCCTTGTTACCCTGGTGTTCCTTGTTACCCTGGTGTTCCTTGTTCCCCTGGTGTTCCTTGTTACCCTGGTGTTCCTTGTTCCCTGGTGTTCCTTGTTACCCTGGTGTTCCTTGTTACCCTGGTGTTCCTTGTTCCCTGGTGTTCCTTGTTACCCTGGTGTTCCTTGTTACCCTGGTGTTCCTTGTTACCCTGGTGTTCCTTGTTACCCTGGTGTTCCTTGTTACTCTGGTGTTCCTTGTTACCCTGGTGTTCCTTGTTACCCTGGTGTTCCTTGTTACCCTGGTGTTCCTTGTTACCCTGGTGTTCCTTGTTACCCTGGTGTTCCTTGTTCCCCTGGTGTTCCTTGTTACTCTGGTGTTCCTTGTTACCCTGGTGTTCCTTGTTACCCTGGTGTTCCTTGTTACCCTGGTGTTCCTTGTTCCCTGGTGTTCCTTGTTACCCTGGTGTTCCTTGTTACCCTGGTGTTCCTTGTTAACCTGGTGTTCCTTGTTACCCTGGTGTTCCTTGTTCCCTGGTGTTCCTTGTTACCCTGGTGTTCCTTGTTACTCTGGTGTTCCTTGTTACCCTGGTGTTCCTTGTTACCCTGGTGTTCCTTGTTATCCTGGTGTTCCTTGTTATCCTGGTGTTCCTTGTTACCCTGGTGTTCCTTGTTTCCCTAGTGTTCCTTGTTCCCTGGTGTTCCTTGTTACCCTGGTGTTCCTTGTTACCCTGGTGTTCCTTGTTACTCTGGTGTTCCTTGTTACCCTGGTGTTCCTTGTTACCCTGGTGTTCCTTGTTCCCTGGTGTTCCTTGTTCCCTGGTGTTCCTTGTTCCCTGGTGTTCCTTGTTCCCTGGTGTTCCTTGTTCCCTGGTGTTCCTTGTTACCCTGGTGTTCCTTGTTACCCTGGTGTTCCTTGTTCCCTGGTGTTCCTTGTTTCCCTGGTGTTCCTTGTTACCCTGGTGTTCCTTGTTACTCTGGTGTTCCTTGTTACCCTGGTGTTCCTTGTTACCCTGGTGTTCCTTGTTACTCTGGTGTTCCTTGTTACCCTGGTGTTCCTTGTTACCCTGGTGTTCCTTGTTCCCTGGTGTTCCTTGTTACCCTGGTGTTCCTTGTTACCTCTGGTGCTCCTTGTTACCCTGGTGTTCCTTGTTACTCTGGTGTTCCTTGTTACCCCTGGTGCTCCTTGTTACCCTGGTGCTCCTTCTAACCCTGGTGTGAAGCACTGGGTGGTGTCCCCTGGTGTGAAGCACTGGGGTGGTGTCCCCTGGTGTGAAGCACTGGGTGGTGTCTCCTGGTGTGAAGCACTGGGTGGTGTCCCCTGGTGTGAAGCACTGGGTGGTGTCCCCTGGTGTGAAGCACTGGGTGGTGTCCCCTGGTGTGAAGCACTGGGTGGTGTCCCCTGGTGTGAAGCACTGGGTGGTGTCCCCTGGTGTGAAGCACTGGGTGGTGTCCCCTGGTGTGAAGCACTGGGTGGTGTCCCCTGGTGTGAAGCACTGGGTGGTGTCCCCTGGTGTGAAGCACTGGGGTGGTGTCCCCTGGTGTGAAGCACTGGGTGGTGTCTCCTGGTGTGAAGCACTGGGTGGTGTCCCCTGGTGTGAAGCACTGGGTGGTGTCCCCTGGTGTGAAGCACTGGGGTGGTGTCCCCTGGTGTGAAGCACTGGGTGGTGTCCCCTGGTGTGAAGCACTGGGTGGTGTCCCCTGGTGTGAAGCACTGGGTGGTGTCCCCTGGTGTGAAGCACTGGGGTGGTGTCCCCTGGTGTGAAGCACTGGGTGGTGTCCCCTGGTGTGAAGCACTGGGTGGTGTCCCCTGGTGTGAAGCACTGGGTGGTGTCCCCTGGTGTGAAGCACTGGGTGGTGTCCCCTGGTGTGAAGCACTGGGTGGTGTCACCTGTGTGAAGCACTGGGTGGTGTCCCCTGGTGTGAAGCACTGGGTGGTGTCCCCTGGTGTGAAGCACTGGGTGATGTCCCCTGGTGTGAAGCACTGGGTGATGTCCCCTGGTGTGAAGCACTGGGTGGTGTCCCCTGGTGTGAAGCACTGGGTGGTGTCACCTGTGTGAAGCACTGGGTGGTGTCGCCTGGTGTGAAGCACTGGGTGGTGTCCCCTGGTGTGAAGCACTGGGTGGTGTCACCTGTGTGAAGCACTGGGTGGTGTCCCCTGGTGTGAAGCACTGGGTGGTGTCCCCTGGTGTGAAGCACTGGGTGGTGTCCCCTGGTGTGAAGCACTGGGTGGTGTCCCCTGGTGTGAAGCACTGGGTGGTGTCCCCTGGTGTGAAGCACTGGGTGGTGTCCCCTGGTGTGAAGCACTGGGTGGTGTCCCCTGGTGTGAAGCACTGGGTGGTGTCCCCTGGTGTGAAGCACTGGGTGCTGTCCCCTGGTGTGAAGCACTGGGTGTGTCCCCTGGTGTGAAGCACTGGGTGGTGTCCCCTGGTGTGAAGCACTGGGTGGTGTCCCCTGGTGTGAAGCACTGGGGTGGTGTCCCCTGGTGTGAAGCACTGGGTGGTGTCTCCTGGTGTGAAGCACTGGGTGGTGTCCCCTGGTGTGAAGCACTGGGTGGTGTCCCCTGGTGTGAAGCACTGGGTGGTGTCCCCTGTTGTGAAGCACTGGGTGGTGTCCCCTGGTGTGAAGCACTGGGGTGGTGTCTCCTGTTGTGAAGCACTGGGTGGTGTCACCTGTGTGAAGCACTGGGTGGTGTCCCCTGGTGTGAAGCACTGGGTGATGTCCCCTGGTGTGAAGCACTGGGTGATGTCCCCTGGTGTGAAGCACTGGGTGATGTCCCCTGGTGTGAAGCACTGGGTGGTGTCGCCTACGATGAGACCGGGAAGAGACTGTCAACACTCTACAATACCCACCAACCCTACACACACGCTCTACAATACCCACCAACTCTACACACGCTCTACAATACCCACCAACCCTACACACACGCTCTACAATACCCACCAACCATACACACGCTCTACAATACCCACCAACCCTACACACACGCTCTACAATACCCACCAACCCTACACACGCTCTACATTACCCACCAACCCTACACACGCTCTACAATACCCACCAACCCTACACGCACTCTACAATACCCACCAACCCTACACACGCTCTACAATACCCACCAACCGTACACACACTCTTCAATACCCACCAACCCTACACACGCTCTACAATACCCACCAACCGTACACACACTCTACAATACCCACCAACCCTACACACGCTCTACAATACTGCCAATTTCCCTTTGTGCTCGTCGATAATTTCAAAGATAAGTTTCAGCACATATTATTGTTAAGTACGCCAAGGAGAACCGTGACCACGGACGCAGCGTCCATATGTGTACAGTCTGTCATCACAGGTTCTCCCAGAGAACACACCCTCACTCGCCAGCGGCCACCACCAGACTGGTACTTAACCTGCCACCGCCATATGCGGGGGACCTGCTTTCACCTGTACCTCTGGCACCTGCCACCACCCTCCAGATGCTCGATTATCTTCACCCTGACCCTTGGTGCCACGCAGCCCGCCCTCCAAAGATGAGGTAAATTTAAGAGTCCCATAAGTGCAATTATGTACTATGTATGACAGTGAGGAATTGTACTTATTTACACTTAGTATTAAATCGTAGTCAAATATATTGCGAATATATGAGTTTACCTGAAAAGCTGAATAGAAAATTACGACCTAACCTGACCGTCTTAGTTTTTGACGATAAGCATTTTTTTGCTTTTTAACACATTAGTGGGCGCGGCACTAGCTGGAAAACCAAGCAGGTTGTGTGCGCGGCGTTCTGGGCGCTCAAGTGTAAACACAAAAAAGTTTATAATCTTTTCACGCTCCTAACCTCAATTCTCGAGCTACGTTTTTCATTTTGGTATCAATGCGTTGGCAATAAAATTCTCTACAAGATCATATGCATAAAATGTCACCGAAGCATTTGGTATTCCACCACGAAGTAAATAAACACGAAGATGACTCGCCGTGACACCCAAACAGGAAGTAAATGTTCATACTCTTTCGTTTGTTGCCAGGCTCACAGTCATCCTACAGCGCTCATTTTGATATCACTGAACTCGCAATAAAATTCCCCACCCAGACATATGCCTATCAATGTCTAATTATGGTATCGGGTGACCCGCACGAGTGTGGGAACTGGGCGAAGCGTTAGCCGTGATTTCAGCAGGGACGACACTGGTGTGATGCAGCGCTTTGAATGTTTATACTTATTTCACTGTCCTGACATTATTTCTGGAGCTACGTATTTCATTTTTATAGCAATGTGTTCGCAATAGAAAGTTTTATAAGAACATGGGTAGAGTTGGCCAACGCAGCGTCAAATAAATTTGCGGGGAATAAAATCTTACGCGTGTTTGTACCCGTGAGCGTCAAAAGTTTTTACTTTGCTCATGTTTTTCAAGTTTATACTTGTTTCACACCGTTTTTTTTTGTATAGTGTTCGGAATAAAATTCCCTACACAGACATATGCATATCAAATACAATTCCTTGGAATTCACAGCTGTAGAGATGACGGAAAACACACAACCGGAACCCGCTCTTGACACTCCAACTCACACCCGCAACACCCACAAAAAAAGTTTCTCTTGTTTCGTGTATACTTACTTTAGTTTTCGTGCTACAGTTCTCATTTAGGTATCAAAATATTCCTAAGAAAATAGACTACAATACTGAAACAATCTAAGACAATTATGTGTACTTACCAAAGCAAAGACGATTGTAGTAAAATAAGTTGAGCATTTTATCTCCACTCCACCTCCTTCAGGTACTGATTCCTGAAGTTGCTCAACAGATGTTCCTAGGTGGAGTGAAGCTGATGTAGGTGGTTATTTCTTGTCCACCCAATACACCCTTTTCCTGTGATAAGTGGTGTAACAAGGTATGACGCAAAGTGGAACATCGCATGTCTTGCACGCTATGCCAGTTTCCTTCCTGATACCCGACTTTGAACACACTTCACACCTGCGACGTTTGGGGATTTTTACCAGCTCATGTTTCAATTTATAGTTCAGGCGAGTCTCTGCTATAACAACACGTCGCTGTTGTCTCTGGGTTGGCAATAAACTACTGTCTGAATCGTCGCTCTCACTATTGTTTTCAAACACTAATGTGGAATATGAATTATCTGCATCAGATTCAGCTTCAGCACTAGGTGTAGACGTGAAGAGAGGGCGCCTTACACCCGACGGGCCAGGTGTTGACGGGTCAGCAGCAGGATACACAGGACCAGTGTCATGATTTATGTCTGGAGCATGAACTAGATGTGGAGATGGTGTAGTTGTTGCAGGCCACTCTGCCTTGTCAAATTTCAATAAAGATCAAATAGCAACTTCATGGAACTAGAGCAGAGTTAGTTTCCTTCGATCATCTGTGTTGGCCTTGTACAATGCATAAGCGTTTTGCAATGCCATTTGCAAGAAATAAAATGTTATTTTCTTGGTCCACTTGTGACATTTCCTGGCGAAATGGTAATACTTTACCATTTGATCAAAGTGGTCAACACCCTTCATGAACTTATTGTAGTCAACAATTGCCTGTGGTTTGTTCACCACAACCTGCTGTAGTCTTACTGTTCCATCTGCCCTGCGAACTCATTTCTTTTCTGAACTTTCTTTGTGTCTGCATTGTGTAGGTTGGGCGAGGGGAGAGCCGAGGGGAGGCCGAGGGGAGAGAGATCCGATTGCTCCACGTGACAACAAAACAATGGGCCTGTCACGTGACCCAGTAGGCCGACGTGACTTGCGGCCTACCCGAGAGAACAGGAATTTCATGGCGCGGAGTTTGAAACAAACCCCAAGTAAATCGGATTTAAACTGGATTTTTTACAAATATTTTAAACCGCACCGTAAATTTACGTCGTGATCCGACAAGCGGTTAGGGAAAACGCCCGTAATTCCAAGTCGAATATCCAGGAAAGTGTTAATTACAATTACTTCTTAACCTATAGCTATATTGATATTACAATTTTATAAAACTAATAAAACAAAACTAAAATATTTAAAGAAATTGTAAAATAACTCAGGATATTTTCAGATTTTATATAAAATCTCTCTTGTTTAATAAAATTGAAAAGAAATTTTTGATATTTAAAACTTTTGTATAGCAAACTGAACTAAAAAACTTTATCTTAAAATTCTGTGTCTCAACAGAAAACGAGGAGAATTAAATGGGGAGGTAAATATAACAGCCCCATGTGCAATTATGTACAATGTATGACAGTCAGGAAATGCACTTTTTACACTTAGTATTAAAACGTACTGTCATAATTCGGAGGATGAGTTGGTGCCACGCGCTCACACCTGTACCTCTGGCACCCGCCACCACCCTCCAGCTAAACAACAATCTCAACAAAAATCACATAATTCTAGGAGATGACTTAATATTGACCAAGGGCAGCGAAATAACCCTCAAGTCGACTATTTCCTAAACAGCATGAACTCCTGTATGCTAATCCCCACAAGCACCAAGCCCACCTGAATCACTCAAACATCTGCTACTACCTTGGATCATTTATGGACTAACATAACAGCTCCCCTTACATCAGGTATAATCACTGACAGAACAACTGACCACTATCCTACCTTCCTCGTAGCGAACATGGCCATAACACCACCAGCTAACAAGAAACTGACCTTTAAATTACACAGTGACGCAGCAATAGGCAATCTCACAAATGCACTCCACATTATAAACTGGGAATCTGAATTTAATAATACTCAGGATCTAAATTCATTAACTAACTTCTTCCTTTCCAAAATTCCAAGCCTTTACAACACTCATTGTCTTCTCCTCACCAAGCAAGTAACTGACAAAAGGTTAAACAATCCCTAGCTCACAAATGGCATAATCAGAGCAATCGACAAGAAACATGTATATGAAAAAAAATTAGGATTGGGCTAGTCTCAAAGAAAGTAGTTAAGAGGTACTCGTCAGTGCTTACCAGTATAATAAGAAAAGCAAAACTTTCCTATTATGAGAGTAGATTCAAAGAAGCAAAAGGCAACATGAAAATCCCATGGAGAACCATCTCTAACATCCTTGGATCTAAACAACATTCACATAACCAGATAAAAATCTCCAAGAATGGTTATACTCCTGCAACAGATCTAGAAACAGCAACTGAAATTAATAACTTCTTTTCATCAAAAGCATGGTTAGCATCAACATCCCCACATGTTAGTGTTAACCTTGCCAGAAAAATCCCACAGACCCAGACACATGTTACCACATGTCTCTCTACTCTCTTCTCCTTTCACCAGTCAGCCCTACAGGTGTTGTGTCCATCATTCCCTCACTAAAAACCAAAGCTGAGAACATTAGTAAAATACCATCCATGGTATACAAGAGTGTCTCCCATGCTCTTGCGCCACCTATAGCTTTGCTGTTCAACAAATCTCTTGAGTGTCATACCTTCCCTGATATCCTCAAAAAAGCAAGAGTAATGCCAGTTTATAAAGGAGGCAATCCGATAAATATAAACAGTTACAGAGCAATATCAAATCTACCTATATTGTCAAAAATATTTCAAAAAATTATTTACAAACAGATCTACTCCTATCTTGTAAAATTCAACATACTAAGTCCTTGTCAGTTTGGCTTCCGCTCCCAAAAATAGTACCAATGATGCAATTATTAGTCAACTCATTATTAGTCAAATCCTCGTCACGGTCTGCTTGACCTAATCTACTTAGCCCTTGACAAAAATGAGTTTCCGTGTGATAGCAAGATAAGCGGAGCTTAACTCCTGGCTCCACCCTTATATGCTCGAGCAGTTGTACATTAATACGTAGAGGCTCCTCACTCTACACAGAGGTCCAGCTCTATAGGCCAGATACTTCACCGGTCTCTCCCCCAATCAACTGTTGTTATAGTTATAAACAGCCTCCTGGTGCTTCGGAGCTCATTAACTGTTTAATAATTGTCAAAAATATTTCAAAAAATTATTTACAAACAGATCTACTCCTATCTTGTAAAATTCAACATACTAAGTCCTTGTCAGTTTGGCTTCCGCTCCCAAAAATAGTACCAATGATGCAATTATTAGTCAACTCATTATTAGTCAAATCCTCGTCAACGGTCTGCTTGACCTAATCTACTTAGCCCTTGACAAAAATGAGTTTCCGTGTGATAGCAAGATAAGCGGAGCTTAACTCCTGGCTCCACCCTTATATGCTCGAGCAGTTGTACATTAATACGTAGAGGCTCCTCACTCTACACAGAGGATCCAGCTCTATAGGCCAGATACTTCACCGGTCTCTCCCCCAATCAACTGTTGTTATAGTTATAAACAGCCTCCTGGTGCTTCGGAGCTCATTAACTGTTTAATAATTGCAACCCGTCCTCGACTCAAATCCATTCAGCGGTCGACCCCACAGACCAGCCCGTCCTCCAAACAAAGATCCAAAAGTGATTCCATGCACCCGCCAAACCCCCTGTTTATGAATGAAAAACGGTTTACACACGACTCACAACTGCTGACGTTCGAACAT